GAGCAGCTGACCCTGACCAGAGAGAAGCCAAGCAGGCAGGTGCTGTGAATCAGCTGGCACAGCTGATCAGCACCGCATGATTAGCCCACACTCTCATCTGGACAATATAAAGGGGGGAAACCAGGAAAAAACAGAGAAGGAAGGTGTAGGCAGGCAGATCCTGTGGATTCCCCCTCTGAATTGTCAGAGAGGGCCCTACCCAATAGCTAGTGGAGGCCAGAAGATCCCAGTCTGAATCCCTAACCAGATTGTTGTTTGTGATAATTTTTACGCTTTTCTTTCTTGTTTCTGACAACAATAAACAGAACCCTAAAGAAAGGGACAAACCTGGGTGTGGCTGATTGTCTATTTCTAGCTGTTAACTAGGGCCACCAGCGTTCATACCTCTGCATGGGTCCAGGGTAATATTTTGGAAGGATAGGTCCAGCTGACTGGATGTCCATTTTTCATGCTCCCTTTGTATTCCTCTTAGGATCTACACAATTTCCTTATATGGTATCCTCTCAGGATTTGAGATGCTCCTCCAGAGAGCTGTCTAATGGAAGTCTCACCTTCTAGCTGCTGGAGAGATTCTGTAGACTCTGAATGCATGCGATTTTTATGGGGACTCACACACAGTCTAAGCTTTAGAGGTTCAGATTGTCCTCAAATGAATGCTGTGCAGTTATTGCCTCTGTGTGTGACAGCGAGAAACTGCTTGATCATTTGTCTCTGTCCAGGCCATAACAAATACAGATGTATCAATAAGATAATGAGCATGGAAAAGGTGAGATGGCCTGGATGTATCATCATCAGATTTGGGCATGAAGGAAATTTGCGTACAAACCTGTGAAAATGGTGCTGGTAATGAACCACACAGCTTCCTGCACCTCCATACTCCATGACTATCTTAAGCCTAACCCTTCTATGTGTGTGTGTGTGTGTGTGTTTCCACACACATGCATGTGCTTGGGAATATAGTCCAGATATTTGCCTTTGCTGTTCTGAAAAACACCCGTTTGCAGGCACTAAACCACAGAGAAATCCATAGGCATTTATTATTTATCCCCTGTACTTCGGTACTTAATAACACTCGGGCTGCCTTTAAGCACTGTTGCTAGTCAGAGCAGCTTACGGTTGGCAGTCGGTAATTGCTGTCTCAGCTGCCTGTGTCTAGCAGAGAGCAGATGACATGCTGTGCATCTGTGATTCTCTGACTGTACCAGTGCAATCAGTTTTGGAGAGCTCAATTCCAGGAGAGAGCAAGAGCTGCACAGTAGGATTGTATGCTACATGCAGGAGTGGGGCTCAGAAGATATTTTGTCCCTGCCATCTAATTACTTACCCTAGTGCAGTAATATGGAAATGAGAAATGCAAAGAATGCCACCAACTGGAGGTGTTGATGCAGAAATTTTGACTAATTTTCACAGCTTCATAAAGCAGAGTATGCCCCACTTTGTTACTATTGGCTATGTAGGAGCAACATTCTCCAAACTGCAAGATGGCCCCAATTACATAGTGCTTGCAACACAATATGTTAATTTAAGGAATAATTAGCAAGAAAGTTTATTGCAAATCTCAAATGATATATCTTTTTATTTCTGAATAGGTTTCTTCTGGAGCTAGTGCTAATTGTTGTCCACAGGTGGACAGTATTATTAGACTATGGCTTAGATATAGGAGATGGAGTGGAGTGGAGCTTACATGCCCAGGGGGAGAGGCTAAATTCCAATTTATTTGTCTTGGGAAACAATTAAGTTTGCTTTTAATTGTGTCTCAATCCACAGTGGTAAGCAAAGCAGTGATTTGGATGGATTCACCAAGGGCAAGTCATGCCTGACAATCCTGATTACCGTCTATGAGAGATAACTGGCTCTGTGGATATGGGGAAAATGGTGAATGTGATATACCTTGACTTTAGCAAAGCTTTTGATACGGTCTGCCACTGTATTCTTGCTAGCAAGTTAAAGAAGTATGGACTGGATGAATGGACTATAAGGTGGATAGAAAGCTGGCTAGATCGTTGGGCTCAATGGGTAGTGATCAACAGCTTGATGTCTAGTTGGCAGCCGGTATCAAGCAGAGTGCCCCAAGGGTCGGCCCTGGGGCTGGTTTTATTCAACATCTTTATTAATGATCTGGATGATGGGATGGATTGCACCCTCAGCAAGTTCATGAATGACACTAAACTGGGATGAGTGATAGATACGCTGGAGGGAAGGGATAGGATACAGAGAGACCTAGACAAATTGGAGGATTGAGCCAAAGAAATCTGATGAGGTTCCACAAGGACAACGCAGAGTCCTGCACTTAGGACAGAATAATCCCATGCACTGCTACCGTCTGGGGACTGACTGGCTAAGTGGGAGTTCTTCAGAAAAGGACCTGGGGATTACAGTGGATGAGAAGCTGGATATGAGTCAACAGTGTGTCCTTGTTGCCAAGAAGGCTAATGGCATATTGGGCTGCATTAATAGGAGCACTGATAGCAGGTCAAGGGAAGTCAGTATTCCCCTCTATTTGGTACTGGTGAGGCTACATCTGGAGTATTGCATCCAGTTTTGGGGCCCCCACTACAGAAAGGATGTGGACAAATTGGAGAGAATTCAGAGGAGGGCAGTGAAAATGATTAGGGCACTGGGGCACATGACGTACGAAGAGAGGTTGAGGGAACTGGGCTTATTTAGTCTGCAGAAGAGAAAAGTGAGGGGGGATTTGATAGCAACTACCTGAAGTGGAGTTCCAAAGAGGATGGAGCTAGGCTGTTCTCAGTGGTAAGAGATGACAGAACAAGGAGCAATGGTCTCAAGTTGCAGTGGGGGAGATCTAGGTTGGATATTAGGGAAAACTCTTTCACTAGGAGGGTGCTGAAGCACTGAAATGGGTTATCTAGGGAGGTGGTGGAACCTCCATCCTTGGAGGTTTTTAATGCCCAGCTTGAAAAAAGCCCTGACTGGGATGTTTTAGTGGGGGTTGGTCCTGCTTTGAGCAGGGTGTTGGACTAGATTACCTCCTGAGGTCTCTTCCAACCCTAATCTTCTATGATTCAATTATTTCAGAAATACTTTCCACAAGAACTCCAACTTCATTTTCAAATAGGACAAGGTTACCTCTGACCCCCTGCAGTTGTAGCTCAACCTCTGTAATTGGACATGGCAAGCTGCAGCATTTTTTTAAAAAGTTCTCCACTGAGCTATTGGACATGCTAAATATCAGTTTCCATAATCTCAGATATGCTGAACACAAGTTGTGTTCTAGAAGTTCCTCTCTGAATGGGCTATCTGGGAGGGGGGGCTTGGGTAACATGAGTGAGGAGAGACTTCAGGACATATTCTGATCTAATATCTTTCTTCTTCCCCTTCTATCAGCTGGCTGGGGTCAGGTTGACAGAGCAGTCTTTTTCAGGTTTGCCAGTCCAGCACTCACTCCATATTCACTCCATCCTCTCATACACAGTCTATCCACTGTTTTCTTAGCTATCCTCTTGTTCAGTGCCCACAAGTTCTAGTCTCAAATTCCTCTCTAACAGGATTCCCTTCATCTGTTTTTCTTGCATATCATTTCAGCCTCCTCTTTTGCACATTCTCTCTGATACCACAGTCCTTGGTCTTACTCCTGATGGCATCATTCTGCATGAGGTCCAGCAATGATCCCCCTATTTACTGCCCTCAAATATCTCATTTCAGTGGCTTCAAGTCTTCTCAAGTGCCCCTCTTTGGTCATTCATGACTCAGATCCCTTTAGAATACCTGGTCTTATCTATTTTGATCTAATATCCATTCAAAATATATCACTGGAGAAGCATAGAACTTAGAATATGGACTCTAGACCGTCACTGCTATGCATTTCACTTTTGCACCATCCAAGTAGAGAGGTCATAAACTATATTACTGTTGCTTTCTTAAATCAGGGACCATTGCAACAACCATCACACTTTGTGTTTATGATGACTTTCAATTCAAATGTATTCCTGTTATGTTTAAAGTGCTTACCCTATAAGTCACAGGTGTTCCAGAAGAGAGATTCTGTACTGTCGGAAAGAGATAGGCATTGTGTGCATACAGTTACACTTAGGAACAATGGTCAGAACATTAATACAATGTGATGGATTTTTTTTATAGTGGGATTTTGGCCATGAGTGGCCAAAGATTTAATCCAATTTTCAGATACCATGGATAATTTAACATTAGTCTATACATTCTTCCTGGTTTGGGATGCCTGAAAGTAGCACCTTTAAAATTGACATACACATCTTTTTTATCAAGGAAAAGAAGTATGTGACAATATGAATCTGACTGATGCCAAATACCAAAATATTTTGATTTGTATTACTGCCTAGACTGGTGTGGAAGTCTAGGAATTACTGAATAACTGATATGTCAAGTTAAGAACATTGGTACAAAACATATAGCTATTTCTTTGCCATTTCATTGCTGAAAATCAGGACGATTCATGGGGATTTACTATATTGTAAATGTTATCTGAAAACATTTCTCATCATATTCCAGCTCCCATTCTCATTGCTGATTCTTTCCTACCCTAATGGACGGTCCATATTCTCCAGTGACTCTACACATTCTTTCTTCACTTCAAATAACCAGTTCCATCTTTTCTACAATAACCTATTCTTTCCCTGTTTCCACTTTCCCCCCTTCTTCTCACCACTTACACTGCTGTGGGCAAATCTGATATTTTTCTTGTTGTGGAGCTGTACGTTCGAAATAGCTTTCACACTACTGGATCCTGTAAATTAACACTAGAAGCATTAATTAACCCTTTAAAATAAATAAGTGACTTAAAGAAGCAGACAGATTGTATTTAATGTGAATTTGCAGGAAAACCCTGCAGGATTGTCTTTATTCAGGCTGATCTGGCTGTGCATTGCCAATGAAAACACTTTGGGATGAATATCTTTTTAATTCAGGAGAAAAAGAGGTGTATCAGAAGAGATGGCCTTCAATATTTTTTTTAAAACCACATGGAGTAATAACACAAAACATGGAAACCTGAGGAAACCTACCGTAAATTTCCAATGGTGAACCTGGTACAATCAGCAAAAAATATTGTGGTGGCTGGAAGGTTGAAAACTGGTGAACAGGAATAAAAGAAATCTCATGAATTCTTCTGTGGAGGGAAGCAGTTCCTTACATTCCATTGTGGCTTAGAGTTGATGCTGTTTTCTGTAGTAAAAATGATCCTTTATTGGATTCAGTTGCAGGATGGATTAGAAGGGTTAGGGAAGGAAGTAACTACCATGATAATGACAGTCTTTCACCATATCTGGCTAGTAGAGGTTTTTATCATTACAGTCATTTTATTTGGTCAATATGAAGATAATCTTTGTCAGTTTTTCTGAGCAATTCAGATTAAAAAAGATACCTTGTAATATCCACATTATAGCACCACTGCTCTTATCTTCTAACCTACTTTAGACTTAAAATCTTATTGTGAACCTCTGGGGTTTTGTTCTTACACAGAAAGGAGCAATAAGACATAACAATAGCCTGAATGAATGAGGAAGCAGACAGTGAGGAGCTGAAGATGGCACTCAAGCTGTAATAATGGATTTGTCAACAGTAAGAGAAAAAGGAGGAAATGGAAAAGGGTTGGTGTGAAAGAGGGAACCCTGTTTTGGACACCTTGAGTGTAAAATGGAAGCAGAACAAGAAGAAGGAGATGCTTAAGTAACAGCTGGAGATTGAGATTGGGCAGAGTTAAGTAAATCATCCAAGGGGCAGCAATTAAAAGCTCTAGGGTTGATAAGGTTACCAAGAGGGGGAAAAGGGGGACAGAGGTCCAAAATCTGAGGGACATCAACAAATAGGGGGAGAGGCCAGGATGTGAAATAAACAAAAGAGATGTTAAAGGAGTCTCCCATGATCTGTCCACAGTTTAAAATTTATCAGTGAATGGTTTTAGAAACCACATATCTCTCCTGCACCTAAGCTTGACATGGGAATTTCTTGATATTTCATTCTTAGTCTCCATTGTTGAAGTAAACCCATGAGTATTTATATATTATTTAGTTCTTAGGAAAGCTACATACCCATAATTCATGGTATTTCTTATAATGAATACCCCCATTAAGATTATCTTGCATATTTGTTACTCCTCTTTTTTCCCTACTATTTTTAAATAGAGCAACTGTTCTGGAAACAGGACTACCCTAGACTGACTTAAATTCCCAAATAAGTGTCTTAAAGTAACTTTGGAAACACATATATTATGCCAAACCACTTGTAGTGATAGATTAAATGATAAAGAAAACTGTTCTAATCTAAATTACATTACAGTTTAAAGTTTATAACTGGAAGACTACTGATTGATTTGCATTGAATGTTTAGGACAAGGTGGAGCAGGGCTATAATGAAAATTATTTAATCTAACTCACTTTGAAAGTGAAATAGGAAAGTTATTTTTGATTGGTCAAAGTGCTACAATAGGAAGATTTTAATTACACTTTGGAATTCATAACATAATGTTAGTTTTCTAAGTAAGACTTACATATCTAGATGCATCTCCTGCAGCCTTTGAAATATTATCTTATAAGAATGTCAATGATTAATTATCTGAGTGTCTAGTGAATCATTAAAGCACAGCTTGTAGAAAAAGTTGATTGAAAGTTTATGTCCAATACAATTACCATGTTGCCCATCAGATTTGTAAAATTATAACACCAACGTCATTGTTTATGTTTGAAAAGTTTACATTTTCAGCTACAATATTTTGGTATCATACCCACACGTACTCAAATGCAAGTTAAGCAACAGAAAATGTTTACCAGTGTCAAGAAATGTTCCTACTGTTATTAAAAGTAACCTAGTTGAAACACAAGAGCCATTTGTTAACCCCATAAAATTAAAATCTGCCAAGGAATATTAAAATTATAATTATAAAAACATTCACTTTTCATTTCAATTAAATGGAATACAAGTAAAATAGCTAATACATAAGCCACATGGCTTTCTCATAATTAAAATATCTCTTCTGTTGTGTTGCTCAACATTCATGCTGGTTTTATTCTATCAGTTTAAATTATAGAAATTAAGGGCCATCAATTAATGTAGGATTGAAATTAGATGAAGGTTTCTAACCATCAGAGGAGTAAAGTTTTGGAAGAGCCTTCCCAGGGAGCAGTGGGGGCAAATAATGTAACTGGCTTCAAGACTGAGCTTGATAAGTTTATGGAGAGGATGGTATGATGAGACAGCTTACAATGGTATGTAGCTGATCTGCGACTGCTAGAAGCAAATACCTTCCTATGCCGGTGATTGGACACTAGTTTGGGAGGGCTCTGAGTTACTATAGAGAATTCTTATTCAGGTGTCTGGTCTGGTGGGTCTTGCCGACATGCTCAGGGCCTAACTAATTGCCATATTTGTGGGTCAAGAAAGAATTTTCCCGTGGGGCATATTGGCAGGGTGGTGGGGGGTTCATCTTCCTTTTCAGCATGGGGCACAGGTCACTTGCAGGTTTAAACAAGCGAAAAAGGCTGATTCACTGTATCTTGAAGTCTTTAAGTCATAACTTGAGCATTTCAGTAACTCAGCCAGAAGCAAGGGATCTATTACAGGAGTGGGTGGGTGAGGTTCTGTGGCCTGCAACAAAAGCGCTGACTTTTGGTTTTGGCGGTGGGTGCTCCACGACCACTCTACCCCGAGGCCCCGCTCCTGCTCAGCCTCTTCCCCTGAGGCCCCATCCCTCTTCCCACTCCTGCTCTGCTTCTTCCTCCCCCACTTTGACTGCTGCTGGGTCCTCTCTGCCCCCACCCCCAAGGTCCCTGCCGTTTGCTCTTCTTTGCCCCTGAGGCCCCGCCCACCTGCCACTCACTCCCCTTCACTCCCTCTTCTGAGCCCCCCTGCCCACTGCTTTCTCCTCTCTGCCTCCCTCTCCTGAGCATCTCCCTCTAGCTCCTCTCTCCCGCCTCCTGCAAGGCTCCTCCCTCCCATCTACCTGCTGCTCACTTTAATCCAACCCATCCCCGAGTGCCTTCTGCCCACCCCTCTCTTCTCTCTGCCCCCTCTGGCCTTAAAGGTGAGTGATGGAGGGATGGGGCAGAGAGGAGTGAGTGGCAGGGGCCTCAGGAGAAAAGGTGGAGTAAGGGTGGAGAGAAGTGCAGCACAAGAGGGTGAAGAGGCCAAGCAGGGGTGGGGTCTCAGGGAAGAATGCAGCTGGGGCCATTGTCCATGGATGCTTGAGCACTGGCTCATTCACAGATTTGGCACCTATGGCCTGCAATGTACAGGGGGTCAGACAAGATTATCATGATGGTCCCTTCTGGCCTTAAAACCTATGAGTCTGTGAGGGCTGTATCTGCAAATGTTCAAGTATGACCTGGCTTGTGAGTAGAGGCCAGATTTTGCAGTTACACTGTCATCTTCCGAAAGTAAAAAGAAAGTTTTTAAAAAAAGTGGGTTTTTTTTTGTTTTTTCTTTTTAAAAAAGGGTTGCGGCTGTAGGAAGAATGGACTGGTGCAAAACCAACTACAGTTATGAGTGAATAGTTGGGGGTCCTATTGAAGTCAGCTCCCACTGAAGTCAATTGGAGACAGGTCAAATCCCTAGTGGCAAAAGTGGCATTTTTGAAAACCATTGCAGGGACTAAGAATCGGTAAGGGCAAGGGGGTACAGTAGTATGGAGGATGCACCTGATGAGTCAGTTAGTTTCAATCCATCCCTCATGAACTGTTCTATAGAATTATTATTATTTATTTATATTACCTAGCACTTAGAAACCCTACTTATGGACCCAGGCCCAGATCCACAAAGATACTTAGAAACTTACGTCCCATGGCTTTGAGGATCCAGGCCCAAAATCCCATTGGCTGGTGCTCTACAAACACAGAACAAAGAGACAATCCTTGCCTCAAAGTATGAAATAAGGAATGAACCTTCAGGGTTCTATACAATTTTAAAAGGTTTTCTCAAAGTGACTCTTAAAATCTGTAGAATTGAATAGAGAATGATATTCCTGCTATAGCAGGGGTTGGCAACCTTCAGCACGTGGCCCATCTGGGTAATCCGCTGGTGTGCTACGAGACATTTTCTTTATGTTGTCCATCTGCAGGCACAAACCCACACAGCTCCCAGAGGCTGTGGTTCGCCGTTTCCAGCCAATGGGAGCTACGGGAAGCGGTGCAGGCCACAGGGACGTGCTGGCCACCGCTTCCCACAGCTCCCATTGGCTGGGAACGGCAAACCACAGCCACTAGGAGCTGTGGGGGGCCATGCCTGCAGATATTCAACGTAAACAAAATGTCTCGCGGCCTGCCAGCGGATTACCCTGATAGGCCGTGTCATAAATATAAAGGGAAGAGTAACCACTTTTCTGTGTACAGTGCTATAAAATCCTCCTGGCCAGAGGCAACATCCTGTTACCTGTAAAGGGTTAAGAAGCTCAGCTAACCTGGCTGGCACCTGACCCAAAGGACCAATAAGGGGACAAGATACTTTCAAATCTTGGGGCGGGGGGGGAAGGCTTTTGTTTGTGCTCTTTGTTTACATTTTGTTCTCTCTTGGGACTGAGAGAGGCCAGATGGAAATCCATCTTCTCCAACCCATCCTAATCCAAGTCTCCAATATTGCAACCAGTATAGGTAAGCCAGGCAAGGCGGATTCGTTTATCTTTTGTTTTATGTGAATTTTCCCTGTGTTAAGGGGGAGGTTTATTCCTGTTTTCTGTAACTAAGGTTTTGCTCAGAGGGGGATCCTCTGTGTTTTGAATCTGAATACCCTGTAAAGTATTTTCCATCCTGATTTTACAGAGGTGATTCTTTTACCTTTTCTTTAATTAAAATTCTTCTTTTAAGAACCTGATCGATTTTTCATTGTTCTAAAGATCCAAGGGTTGGGTTCTGTGTTCACCTGTACAAATTGGTGAGGATTATTATCAAATCTCCCCAGGAAAGGGAGTGTAGGACTTGGGGGGATATTTTGGGGAAAGACATCTCCAAGTGGTCTCTTTCCCTGTTCTTTGTTTTAAACGCTTGGTGGTGGCAGCATACTGTTCAAGGCCAAGGCAAAGTTTGTACCTTGGGGAAGTTTTTAACCTAAGCTGGTAAGAATAAGCTTAGGGGGTCTTTCATGCGGGTCCCCACATCTGTACCCTAGAGTTCAGAGTGGGGAAGGAACCCTGACAGGCCGTGTGCTGAAGATTGCCAACCCCTGTTCTATAGGTTTTTTTCAACCATCATGTAGAATTCTAGAGCATGGATATGATTCTATTGGATCCAAAGAAGATACAGAAAAATATCATGTTTTGTTAAATACTACAGAAGTTTCCCATAAAAAAAACCTATTCTGGGAACAGAACCAGGCTCAGAAGCATCTGTGTGGCTAATTTGTTCCCCTTTCTCCTATTCCTTGTCTGTCCTGTGCCTTAGTTTTTTTTCTCGTGTGGGATAAGCACATATTACTGCTTAGTGCCAAACAGCTACAAACTACTGCCCAGGGAATGTTTTTAATCTGCCTGCCGTGCATTGCATAGCTGGTCTAATGAATCAATGCGGGTTAGCTGGTGTCTATTGGTTGCTTTGTACAGGCATTAGTAGAAACAGTTTCTTATGACAAGTTTTGAGGCTGTAGTTGCCCCTTGCCCCTGCACATCTGTTTGGAAGTTCTGTGTTGGATACTGGAGTGTTGTTATCCCAAAAATGAATTTAGGGACAGGGCTATAATAACTTGCCTATTGCCTCCTTAATCTGTTCTCCCTGAGGTAAAAGTTCCTGGAGTTGCTAAGGAAAACACTAAAGGACAGGGCTATACCTTCCAATAAAGTAACTGACATGGGCAATGTTCTTTTTATTGATGTAACTAATAATCCCTAATACAGTGTATACTAAAAATCCTAAACAAAACACAAAAGCCCTGAGATACAAATCCCTTATTGCAAGTTAACGAGCACTTACACTGCAATAGCATACAGTTTAAATGATTCTAAGCAAAGCAATTTGTTGTAAGTGGACAGTTTGCAACAAATTGCTGACAGCAGATCTTAAATTGCTTTAAAGTTGAGATAGATAAAATACAATTAAAATACACTCACACACATTTCAAGCATACACATACTTATTTATACTGTACTTTCCCAAAACTTTGCATTAAAAGAATATTAAGCTTACTCTATCAATCCATTGCTGTTTTCTTTTACAAATCACTGCTATTGCTGTTCAGTTCCTGGTCAGTCAGCTCTGGTCTGCTTCAGCTTTCTTTTGTCTCTCTGCTGCAGTTTCTCTTTGGCTTCTTTTGTTGGCTTTTGGGCTTTCCCTGCATGCCTCTCTCCTTCTTCAGACACAGACTCCGAACTCCGAAATCGCTGTTGGAAGTTCTCTCTTTATATAACCTTCCTATTCTTAGCTACAGTTACCTCACTTGCACGTGCTCAGGCTTGACCATTACCTCAGAGTTCTGATTGAAGGCTCTGACCTTTAAAACAAGTTGTGACCAGTATGAGTAGGTTCTGACCAGCTAACTGCTCGCCTAACTGACCTCTCTGTCACCCATTACTGCACATGCTCAGTAGCCACCAGTCTTGCATATGCTCATTATTGCCATTTACATCAGAGCTATGATTCTGTCGGTCCACACAAACACACATTCTTGGCTCTTTACCAGGCACCATTTAAGAAACCCTAGGTTTTCACTGAACATGCTGAGGGCCTGCAGAATTCATCTAAAGGTGGAGTGATTTTTGCTTATCCAGAATAGAGATCAGAATCACAAAGTAGAGACTGGAGAATTTTCTCTGGTAATAATGGGAGAGGGAAATTTGCAAATATTTTGTGTAATTATAGGACTGGAAGGGACCTCAAGAGGTCATTTAGTCCAGTCCCCTACACTCACAGCAGGGCCAAGTATTATCTATCTCCCCTTCTTTTATTTTATGCCTGGGTCCCACATTATCAGTACACAAGATGGTGGGTTGTTTAAGACATCTCAGCAGTGGCAATAGAAGCCCTGTAGCTTGTAAAGGCTACCTCCAACCCTCCATATGAGTGACCAGGTTTTCCAGATGCCTGTCCAGCATGTACAGGTTTTCAGAGATGTACTTGAGCCTAATTCACAAATAATTAGGAAATACTGGCTCTCCCAAGTGTACCTATGTCAAGGCTAGTTGCTGCTGTAATACAAATAGTAAACAATAATCAGTTTCACTTGGAAGAAGCCAAAGAGATCACGTGTTTGAGTGTATTCTGAAATTTAATGTATATTACAATGAGAATTGTGTTCTCAGTTGGGAAAATGCCAAAAGCCAAATGAAAGAAAAATCTAGGGATTCAAATAAAAGATGTAGCCCTGGAATAATGTCAAACTCAGGATATGACAGAAATCAAAACAGAAAATGTTGTTTATTCTGACAATTCATGGCACTTCTTTGGTAGCAAAATGACACCACTTGGTAGTAATTATGCAAAGTGTATTTTCTCCACTCAAGCACACTTTAAACGCAACCTGCACTGCAATACAGATTTCAATAGTCAGTAACCATTTTTACAGGTGATTCATTAACACATTTTTCTGGATAACCGCCTTGGTATTCAGCAGCTACCTCTCTGAGGCTTCACTAGATGACAAAAGAACACAGAAGCACACTATAATTCAAAAGAGAGAAATCTTTCATGCAATGAATAATACATTATACAGATACAGATAGTTTAAACAATTTATGTACATAGCCTAAGTGCATGGGTAAATATCTGTATGATTAATAGCAAAGAACCATCTAAGAGACTATGCAACAGCTGTGAAAGATAAACAGTATGAATTTTGATGTGATGTTACCAGGGTTTAGATGGAGAATTGAGACACACTGTATGGGGACTAGAATGAAAGTCTGGGCACTAAGTCTATCCCTTGACTAAAAATTAGAAGCAGATCAATAGTCGTATGTTTGTGTCAAATTAATAGTCCTATGGTTGCGTCAAAGATACAGCCTATACAGATACCATAACCAATGTGAGAGCTTTGCAAGATTATAGAAGTAATTTCAAGAATTAACACAAATACAGTAGTTTAGAACCCAATTTAGCAACAGATATCCATATTTTTGTAGGGTCATGCAAAAGTTAGAAGGTTGTGGACACTGGCTCCACAGCAAGCTGGCTTTTCAGAGAAAAGGCATTCTGCAGCCAAAGGCAAATCCTCCACCAGCCCTCTCAAAAATGTTTGCTGCTATGGAAAGATGTATTATTATGGAATTGCTCTGCAACCAACAGGCTGCTACACCTGATTCTTATGGTTCTCCTCCCCTTCATTGATTAATCCACAACCAATGTGTGTTACAGCTAGGGAAGAAAAAGTTGGTGTGAACAAAATAAGAACTGAACCAAACATTATCACAACTACAATTGTACTCAAGTTGTATAAATCTTCCTTCCTTATTCAGATGTTTATACCACAGTCATCACTGTAGTATCAGAGAACCTACTGCATTATAGAATCATAGAAGATCAGGATTGGAAGAGACCTCAGGAGGTCATCAAGTCCAACCCCCCTGTTCAAAGCAGGACCAACATCAACTAAATCATCCCAGCCAGGCTTTGTCAAGCTGGGCCTTAAAAACCTCTGAGGATGGAGATTCCACCACCTCCCTAGGTAACCCAAATAGGTTGCAGTAAAACGATATTAAAAAAAAATATGTAGTTTCAGTTATGCACATTCCCTTGAGCTTCAAGGTTAGCCCAGAAATTATTAGAAATCATGTTCAGCAAGCATTTCACAATTAAGGTGCTATTTAAAGTTAAATCTTACATAAGACCATATCTTTTAATATCTGAGAATTAGGCTAGTGAACCTCTGGCTTGTGAATTTCAACCATTGCTTGGTTGTTATTCAAAAGATATAGTTTTATCTCAAAGAATGATGGTTCTCGGACTCAGAAATCTCTAGCTCTGCCACAGATTGTCTGTGTGACTTTGAGCAAATTATGTAATCTCTGTGTGCCTCAGTTCCCTCTCTGTGAAATGGAATTAGTACTACTTCCTTTCTTCTGGTCCTTGTCTGTCTTGTTGTTTTAGGGGTTGATTCTTCCACCCTTATTCATGTGAGTGGTAGCTTACTCAGCAAGTTGCCAAAAAGAGCTCTGAGACTTACACAAAGCTGAAACAAAAAGTCTGATTTCTGAAGTTCTGCACAAGGACAAGAGGGTATATATATCTGCATCGTACACATTTTATATATAGCGACAGTATCGATCTTTACATACAGTAAATGACTCATTAAAAAGCAAAGGGTGGATTGACACTAAAGTAACTGAGAGGAGAAGTTGGCCTATGGACTATAGTTGCTACTTTGCCTTTAGGGCTTTGTCCCCAAAATTACTAATTGGGAAATAGTGTAAAAGTTCTAGAAATGTTAATATGGTTTAATAGTCTACACATCAATTGTTCATATTTTATCTTATGTATTTATGAAGTACGAAAATATATATTTTTATAGTTTTTAATTTACAATCTTTTACAGAGGCAGTGCAGGCATCCACTGAACTTTTAGTATAACCACCGATCATTATTTGTCTATATCAACACAGAAAATTTGATCTTTTTTTTTAAAATATACATGATGGAATATTATATAAAATATGAGAAATGATTCTGTGCCTTAGTCATTGTCAAAACATAATATCAATTTAAACCACTTAAAAGCTATCTGGTGTAGACATTTAATCAATATTGGCATGGAAATGAAGTGTTGGAAGTCTTTGAAAACCTTTTTTAATTTTTTTATTTTATTTTACACTTTTATTGGTTTTTCGTTCTTGTCTTGAAATAATGAGTCATTTTTAGGATGGAATATGTTCAGAACTATGGCAGTTCTGAGGCACTCTTAGCTCAAATTTGAAGTAGGCTTTCTAGCATCTGTGTATCAAGAGAGATTCTACTTAGCATTTCCCATCCTAAATGGTCCTAAAAATATGCTTCATATAGGCACTGTATGCACATAAAGCCAAATTCTGCTCTCAGTGACACAGATATAATTGTGTTCTCCCTTTCTATAGCACCTAGCACAGTGCAGTCCTGGGCCACCACTGGGGTTCTTAGGTGCTAGCACAATACCACTAATTAATCCTGTTCTCAATATTGCTATATAGTACCATACATATATATTCTTTCTCTTTCAGGTTATTTCAGTTATTTTCAGTAATTTCAGTTACTGGGTCAGTTGGAATTGTGCGTCTGGGGACTGTTTGAGCCTTTGTTCCCTGGATCATCCTTGATCATCTTTGATCAGCCTCAATCAGCCTTGTGATCGCCCTCCCCCGGTGTGATTAACGAGGGGGTAGGGCTGACCTAGGACAGAAGGCCTTAAAAGCCAGAGGCTAAGTGCTCAAGGGGAGCTAGCAAACAGGTGACTGCAAACCGGAGAGTCTGAGAGAGAATCATAGAATCATAGAATCATAGAATATAAGGGTTGGAAGGGACCCCAGAAGGTCATCTAGTCCAACCCCCTGCTCGAAGCAGGACCAATTCCCAGTTAAATCATCCCAGCCAGGGCTTTGTCAAGCCTGACCTTAAAAACCTCTAAGGAAGGAGTTTCTACCACCTCCCTAGGTAACGCATTCCAGTGTTTCACCACCCTCTTAGTGAAAAAGTTTTTCCTAATATCCAATCTAAACCTCCCCCACTGCAGCTTGAGACCATTACTCCTCGTTCTGTCATCTGCTACCATTGAGAACAGTCTAGAGCCATCCTCTTTGGAACCCCCTTTCAGGTAGTTGAAAGCAGCTATCAAATCCCCCCTCATTCTTCTCTTCTGCAGGCTAAACAATCCCAGCTCCCTCAGCCTCTCCTCATAACTCATGTGTTCCAGACCCCTAATCATTTTTGTTGCCCTTCGCTGGACACTCTCCAATTTATCCACATCCTTCTTGTAGTGTGGGGCCCAAAACTGGACCCAGTACTCCATATGAGGCCTCACCAATGTCGAATAGAGGGGAACGATCACGTCCCTCGATCTGCTCGCTATGCCCCTACTTATACATCCCAAAATGCCATTGGCCTTCTTGGCAACAAGGGCACACTGCTGACTCATATCCAGCTTCTCGTCCACTGTCACCCCTAGGTCCTTTTCCGCAGAACTGCTGCCTAGCCATTCGGTCCCTAGTCTGTAGCTGTGCATTGGGTTCTTCCGTCCTAAGTGCAGGACCCTGCACTTATCCTTATTGAACCTCATCAGATTTCTTTTGGCCCAATCCTCCAATTTGTCTATGTCCTTCTGTATCCTATCCCTCCCCTCCAGCATATCTACCACTCCTCCCAGTTTAGTATCATCCGCAAATTTGCTGAGAGTGCAATCCACACCATCCTCCAGATCATTTATGAAGATATTGAACAAAACCGGCCCCAGGACTGACCCTTGGGGCACTCCACTTGATACCGGCTGCCAACTAGACATGGAGCCATTGATCACTACCCGTTGAGCCCGACAATCTAGCCAGCTTTCTACCCACCTTATAGTGCATTCTTCCAGCCCAT